TCTATTTTATGTTTGTTATTTCTATTGTTTTTTTTATATGAATTTTTCACGGTAGCTTTCTTCAACTATTCTCGTAAGTTTATTGAAGATTTTAACATATTTTGGGTAGATTATTGCATGCAAATGTTTTTTTATTTTAGAAACTCCGTTAATTTCAATGTGTTGTCTGTATTGCAGACATTGCGCTGCCTTCGTGCATTCTCGCTCGAACACTCCCTAACCGCAGTTTTTTCAATGCGATATTCGTCCACCCCCTCTTTCCAGCTCTTTTTTTGTCCCTTTGTAATTCTTTTTGTTCCTCGTTTTTTTGCCCTTTTTCGTTGTTATCGCTTTATGCTAGAGTAGTTCTATCTATTCCCGTCAAAAAAAGGGTACCCTTACTTTTTTGTTAACAGTGCCTTTAACATGTGATTGCGTCGTCTCCTCAACATGTGTTTAAAAACCATAACCAAACTATTGCAGACTCCGTTCCCCCCACATTTTATTACATGATCGTTCTGACGTCCTCTTGCCTACTCGCATTTTGCTTTGCACAGTTGCTGACTCCTCTTAACAAATTGTTTCAATAGAATGCGACTACCCTTGAGACTCTTGCTAAGGACCGAGTTCTGGTCAACTTAGAACCTTTCAGCGTTCTAAGCATCATTTCTTGGAGATTCCTGGAGCACCGCGAATTGCGAAAGATATTATAAGATTCTCTTCACTTCATTGAAGCTGCGTTTATTGGAGTCTTTACTGTTCGGTTCACAATGCCATCTACTAGTTAGACTGTTCTTCTTGTATCGGTAATTTTTTTTTTCACAGGCTCTAAACATTTTTCAGAGCATGTGCTCCTGTTTCATCTCACGTCTTCCTAAAGAGAATTCTCTGTCAACACCGAGCTCTTCTGTGCTAGACGAGAGTGGCCATTGGGGGAATGTAAAGAGAAAGCAATGTCTGCCAAACCTTTGCGTTTATTCGGACCCACGGCAATTTAATGACAGATGCAGCCAAACAAATCCTCCCACAGTAGTTGATAATCCACTGTATCCTTTTTTTTGGTAGGAACAGGATCATTATACTGCGTTTTTATTTTGCATAGATTCTCCTGCAATAACAGTACTCAGTAAGCAGGAGAGTAGCCTGCTCCTATTCTCTTCAATGCCTCACCTGGTTTAGTTTTTAACTAACTTACATGCTCTTTCCCAACCTCCATCTTTCCAATATTCCAGTCCTATCAAATGTGTAAAAAGACCAGCTATGCGTAAAAAGACCGGCCCTCACCTTTCGAAACGACGTTGGCAAGCAATTTTTCTTTCGGTCGCCCTTCGAAGTAGCCTTCCCTCAGTTCTCTTCGGCGCGCTTCCCTGAAAGTGCGTCGCCTCCAGAGGATTCGCAGTCATGAAGCCTTGAGAAGCTCAATGTCAGGTTCCAGCAGCCGCAAAACGAACTTCAGCTTATGTTACAGAACATATCGCTTCGGCAACGGTTGCCTTGGCTCTCTTTTGCAACTAGCGCAAGCAACCAAACCTTTCAAAGTCCGCAGTTTTACCAGATCTCGTTCCGAAATCGCGTGCGTGCTCGTGCGCCATGAGCCAGCCTCGTTTCTCGCTAACATCTTCTTTGCACTTCGTAGAACGACCTCAGCCGCAATAGACAGGTTGCCTGAACCGGTTCCCGAGGGTTTGCTGACCAACGTTCACAACTGTTTTCTTGTAAACTCCCCTTATAATTTAGTTTATGTCGCACGAGCGGGTTCTCCGCTTTGGTCACACAACTGTGCCAGACCATTTCTCGCCCGACAGTCTCTTCGCTCTTCATAGTTTTGAGGAAAGATCTTTTCAGTAGCCCATAATCGATCAATATTTACTCTTTTCCACAACTTCAATGCACGCTCCTGGTCTCCGTTATGCTAGGATCGTGCTGCATTCTGCTGTCGTAGGCATTGCCAGGTCAAGGATCCCTTGCCCCTTGACATTTCTGGGTTCCTTTTGTATCTAAACATGCTTTCCGAATTTCTTCATTAGAAGCGATAGGGCATTAAAATCAATTGCATTAAAGAAATAATTATTAACTGATATCAAAATGGTGACATCACCAAGACTCTAGTATTATAGAACTTGTCCTTCGATTCTGGACAACCGGCTCGAGACGTTTGCAAGTTACTTAGCCATCGTCGCAGCGATTGTTCATTCGTTAATCTCTCACAGGCGAAGACACGTGAGAACCTCACCTTTCCTACGGTGTTAGATTTCCATTTGATGTCTTTTCCGTTGTGAAAGATTTTCACATCTTTCCCATGATTTTGGCTATGGGCCCTTTCAAGCGCGTTCCTTTCAGGTATGGCACATCAAATCAACAAAATTTTGGAACTCTCTAGGTGGGATACAAAATTCGGATCCCGCAATGCGAATTAGCTCCTTTGACTGCCCGTTTCCCGGAAGCTCTCGCCCCAAAGAACCAAATTTACCACAGAACTCAAACGAAATATGCACACTGCTAACTGATGACGTTTTTGCTTGAAACCTGCTTCCTTTGATTTTGTTGTTGATGGTGTTGTCAATCAGCTGATTAGCCAAGTTGGGTCCGACCCTGTATTGGCGCTATTTTTCATTGCTGATTCTGCTTCGACGGTAAACGATTCGCTGCCTTTTGGAGGTAAGGGACAAGCTCACAAACTCAACAGAATCACTACAACTATTGGCATTGCTAGCTTTCGAGAATAAACGCAGAATGACTTGAATTACGAGCTGGTAGCTGACATCCCTCTATTTATGCTCAATCCATACTTATTGTTCAGTGATGGAATTGAATAAAAACAAAGATGAAGTTTCTCGACTTTTGCTGACTGCATGTTCGAAAGCTGGGGGAGGATTGCTTAGCTTTCATCAGGACATCTGCGATACTAGAACCTCAGTGCAGTCCAGCAAATGCAGAATTCGTGTCTTCTTTCACAATACTGCTCAGTTTTCGTCTGCGCAATGAATATCAACACTTTTGTCATTCCGCGAGATATCAAGTGGTGCACGGGTTTCAAGACCGTCTTGAAACTAGAATCAAACTGGCTCAATATCAAATACTATCCATCTAGCCATGAGTGACATCATATTCGGTAACCAAAGTGAACTATGACGAACCGAAAATCGCTGAGAGGAACAATTCTTAGATGTTACTATCGCCACAACGGCGGAAAGAGCTGATGGTGACAAAGGTGGTGGAATTCGGGTCAAAAACGCCGACTGTCCTAATTAGCCGTTACTGCGCCGACCAACGGCCCATCGGAAACCATCAGCATTTTTTTGATTATGCTCGTACATATGCAGCCGATGACGGTACATCGTGTGACACAACCAACTCCATCTGTACAAAATGCTGACCCTAACTTCCAACTTAAGTGCATCTTGAAGCTCATCTTAGGCATCTAATTTTTCACTTGATGTTGTCTCCTCTTGTGGAAGCTTCCAGATATCTGTAAAACCTACAGCAACCAGACTTTTAGGACCTTCAGCAACCAGACGAAATTCACTTTCTTGCGACCGTCGTCTCGCTGCAAAAGTGACGGTCCTACCTAAACCGCTTTTTGAGAATAGAATCGTGCAAATCGAATCATTTCTGTGTGGAGTTTCCACAAAAGGTCTCATTTCAATCCACACGTGCATTTCTACTCTCCGAAGCCTTTCTCTCGCTGTTCGTTGTCATACATCGGCAACCTAGCTCGGCCTTCGATGTCAACCTTACAATCACATCAATTACCTAGATCCAAGAAATCCGTAAATGCGAGGTTGTATATGCAAAGAATCAAACAATTACTCAGGTCACTCGACCTTGAATGTTTTTGATTGAACTACTGTTTCTTTCAACCCATCTTCGAATCAAACTTCGTGTGAAAAAATCTGGCGCGTCCCATGAAGTGTGAGCTATTTGGTGAACCCAAGCGTGTAAACTGTCTGTAATACCTTCAGTAGTAACGTATTATTTTCATATGGTAACGAAACGAGGGCATGGTGCAGATCAGAGCTAATTCGGAGGTGTGTGGCCTAATTATATTTACACTGACTATACATTTTAACGAAACAGGTCACACAAAAGGTGTGGAAAATGTCTAGTGCTCAAATTGAAGGCGTTTCGTAGGCAAGCAGCTTTTATTCAACTACTAACACAGCTTCGCGACATGCTAGCTCGAGAATTGGTGGTGGAGCGGCCAAGGCGGGTTTAATGCCGGCCCCCTGCCATCTGCCATTGATGGTCCTTCAAAAACCATTCTTTTACAAAAATAAACGTTCCTACGGTCCTGCCTACTACCATCCGGCCTATTTCATTGAAATCGGGTATCCACCTACACTAGACTTCTTGCGTCTTACAAAAATTCTTTGCCAGTTTCTCAGTGACATGTTTTATTTCGGTTCGAGCAGAAATCGAAGCGAACCCTCACAACTTCGAGCTGAGAGATATAGTTTTCTGAAGAGAGCTAGATTGTTGTGTCCGTATAAAGAAGCTTTTCTGCTTGTTCGATTGGGTCCATTCCACAGAGTTCTGATGTCCCTAGGGTAGATAATTTCTGGTTGGCTCAAGTAATTCTTCCACCCTATATGTACCTGCTGCAGCACTACAGTGACTTTTCTGTAACAGCTCGCACGCAATATCAGGCAGACTAACCTTGAGATTCATTCCCTATTCTTTGGGGGATTGAGGCAGAGCCTTAATTCACCACAGTACATGTAGTAGCAATGCCTGCATTAAGTTTTCTCAACCACGACAGCGATCTGAAACCCCACCCAAACAACTACTAACATATTAAGCTCTAACATGTGACTCCCTTCCTATAACGCCTTGTAAGGTGGAAATCTGGGGAGAGTCTTGATACCAAACTATGCTGAATGATATCTATTATGAAACTACTGCTTTCGCTCACATCATTTTACTACGTAAGTTTTCAAAGGGAGCCTCAGAAATGCCAAATAACGCCACCTGAAATTTATCTTGACAGGTAGGTCCGCCCATCTACAGGTGGTAGCGGTGGTTCAATCTGAGTGTTAAGATCGATAGCTTCGAAGTGAAGAGTCAGTGAGCCATTTTCAAAATGAATTTTTCTGTTAAGGGGCTTCAACCTATGAAATGACACATAGTATCTCCTTGGAAGCCCCTCCGAGGATCACCGGAGAATTTCTTGTTTCTAGACATTTGTTCACTTGGTACTCAATATGATCCGTGCACACTCTTAGTGGTTCGACACGGTTCGGTCAGGTCGGGCTGCTTGAGTGAACCTCCTATTTTTATTAGAATGAAAATGAGTAGAGATAAGATTTGCCGATACCATACACATACTAACAATTTGACCAAACTATCCGATTAATTCCGCTAGCATCTTCTTTTCCTCCATACCTGGCACCGGATTCGATGAAGCAACGGGGTACCATCATGAGCGAGATGGGGACACTTAACATAAGAGTTCTTGACTGCCTCATAAAATTCATTGCAAACTAGGGTGGATGTTTATAGGCTAGATAGAATACACGCATGCCCGAACGACTAATGAATGCGTGGGACATCTCAAGTAGATTAGACCGGAGTGAGCTTTCTTATAACTACCAGCCTTAGCTATTAGAAATTACCAAAACTAAACACTGACAGAACTATATCACCCTCCTTTTTCTCTTTTTGTCTGTATTGGTCCGACTCACTGAGTGACATTACCTTCTCAGCATCAACGAATGATTGCAGATCGGTTCCCATACTAACGTTTGGCGCTAATTATTATAAATATTTCTAATGATTGGATGGTATGACTCGTTACGCAGGCTGCTGCCTACAGATCGTGATCGTCTTGCAGATGTGATGTGCCAGTTGGTGAATAGCCCTGACCCAGTTGTCTGGAAACAGACGGCCGTCGCTGTTACCATCCGTTATCGCATGTCGCGTGACTCGGCTCAGCTCGCTCATCTACCATTGTTGCTAGAGGGAGAAAGAAAAGTGATACCCAGATTAGAAGCCACTCCTTGACTGTGAAGACCATTCTATTAGTTCCATTAAGTCTTTTTTTAGCAACGAATTACTGAGCCAACACTGTCGACCCGGTGACACGGGTGACAATTAGGCGACGGACAAAGAAATTTTCGAGAAAGTGGTTTAATTGTCGAGTTTCCCTTCACCGCGACAGTCATTTTGTAATATAAAAAATGTGGAGAAATTCGAGACGATCCATCGTGAGGACTATCCCAGACAACGGATTTTCCCTCAGCGTGATTTGTACCCAGAGCGCTTCCCTCGTCATACTCAAAAATTCAAGGTAATAGTCAAGTCGAACTTTAAATGGGAATCTAATTCCCATTCAGAAAAGCTTCTAGAACTTGGCATCCACTGTACTTGCATTTCGTACACAGATGAACTTCCATGTTCGAACGTTCTACCTATATACATATTGAAATTCATGACCCAGACAACTGAAATTGGACTACAATTTAATGGATTCAGGACCACAATTCTTGGAAAAATTGAATATAAAATATCAAAAGCATTAAGTGAATCTGTAGTTATGATTACTAAGAAGCAACAAACCTTCTTACGCCATAAAATATTTCTTCGAGGAGTACTTCTCTATTCGGAGAAGTCTTTCACAAATTTATCAAAACCTCCGCCTTCCTTCAATCTAATAGGTTATATTTGAAGTTCATATCTCCATACTGTTTACCCTCCGCCCCCTCTTGCTCAATGGGGTCACATCTAGACTGAAATTTTTCTAGACGGAAATTCTAATTCCCTCGAAGATGAAGCTATCCTAAAAATCTCTTAACCGTCGAAAGCCGCTTTTGGATCTCATCCTGTTACACTAAAAGGCTTGACTTTCCAACTTCCCCCAAGTCCAGGTCTCTTTTCCAAGCTTAAAATAGTGTTCACCGCTCCAACCTTGTTCGAGGATTTTAGTATCTTTCAAATATGACTCTTTCATTCCCTTGAATACAAAATCAAATAGTTTGGAACCAAATGAAGAAGTCATCATATGACCTAAGGTGAGCATTAATCTGAATTCTATTGTACTATGGGTTCTGACAGACACCATTAAACACGTCTGAAAGCTTACAATTCTAAATGGAGGTCGACTGTTTAGCGCATCTCGAAGAGACCCGTCTACTTCGATCATTCAGCAACAATTTCGATCTTTTGCGCGTTTGGAACGAGAGTTCAAAAGCGCACAAAGGCCTAATTTGCTTCCCCATATGTGCTTTAGTATATGAGAACCATGCGAACATTCGTGCCATCAAAACCAACGTAAGACTAGGCTCCGCGGCAACTGAGTCACTGTACCTTATATCATAAGTAACAAAGTAGTCATTACTTGGAATATTGCTGTCGTCGTGGCGCACTATCTCTTACGCATGGTCAACTGGCGCACTATCTCACATGCATGGCCAGCGGTTCGAATCTCGGATCGATATCCGCCTAGGCCAACCAAGCTTTCCATCCCTTTGTGGTCGGTTAATTGGTACCAGACTAATCTGGGAGAATAAAAAGCACTGACTTGCACATTGGTTGGCCACCGCAAGCCATTGTATAGGCCACGTACGCACTCATTGCGCCTCTACGATTCTGAATGGAAATCGAGTGCGGGGTCGCATCCCTCAGACGGGATCGATTAGCGTTGAAAATTTTATCCTTTATCCTTCATTGTTTTCGTCAATGGAAACAGCTCAAGTGTTCTCGTTCGAGAATTTTGATCCCACATAGAAAACCCACACCTTCAAGGAAAACGTTTGCGAACATCGAAAGGAACGCCGCAGTCGAGCGCAAATTCCTAACGATTTAATCACGTTAGGATTGTCCAGCATGTCACCAATTGAGAGCCAAATGGACCGAGAGAACGGGTCACTAAATTCCCAATTTTCTCGGTCCATTCGGTGCGCAATCGGTTGTGCGAGTGCGAGTGCGGATCGTCAAGGTGGTTGATGAAGGGCGCTGGCTCAGCATGGCCTAGCCCGCCGCCCTGGCCCAGTTTTCGAAGATGTCGACGTCGCCTTCTTCTCAGACCAATGCGAAATAAACCACGACAGCCCATTCATTTGCATCCCATTTCATCGACTATGAATTCATAGTTAGTTATGTTTCCTAGCGTTATCACCCATCATTTGACCATCAGCCTAGGCCCATGTCCAAATGTTCTTGGGGACCACCGTGCTTGTCCATCACATTAGGGAGATCACGCCCTCATCTCACCTTTCCGAAGTCGACTATGAAATCTCACCTGTTTCTACTACTGCTCCTTCCTCGAATTTTTATAACTCGAACCAAACATTTTCATTCCTTCAGTAGTTCTTCGTTCTACATGCGTAACCATGTAAGCCATTTGTTCACATATTTGAGCTAACTGCTCGACGCTTTTCGGATCAAGTAACTAGTCTGAGACCATCTTTTCCTTCCGTATTCTCAGCTCCAAGCTAGAAAGAACTTGACTAGAATCAAAGGAAAATGCTCTAATTTATACCAGTTGCTTTGTGAAATAACATTTCTTCAAAATTGGTAGTACATCTCAGTATTAAATGCTTATTGTTAGATACCTCATACTTATTCAGGGAAACTCGAACTTTCCGTAGATAAAAGTGACAGCTTTTCCAAATAGCTAAAGAATATGAAAGGCGATCAGCGATAGAGACTCGAGACTAGCTGACTCAAACAGTAGATCACCTGTCACATTTTTGCTCTTTCGATGTATGCTATTGCATTAATCCCTCTTCATCCTCAGCACCGGTTACTGACCATACGTTATCGGTTCGCCCATCAACTATTGTCCAGAGAGTCTCAAGGACACCCTCTATACATTTGTTGGGGAAGGATATCGCTAACGTCGCCTTATCGTCAACTTAGTTAGCTGCTCTATGGTGAGGGTTTGTATCCTCGACCTTAATGATTCCTATGAAAAGCAGTTCTTTGCTTCTGTAAGCTTATATAAACAAATGATTCCAACCATGACTTCTATTATTTATTTTTCAGAAGTGAGTAAGGACTCACCAAAAGTCTTTTAAATGGCAATGTCCCTCGGACATCACAAAAGCATTTATTTGCGTCCCGAAGTTAGTACTGTATTATAATGGCAATGTCCCTCGGTCATCACAAAAGCATTAACTTGCGNCCCGAAGTTAGTACTGTATTATAATCATTGTATCGATTGCGGAGCCGTTTACCGAATCATTCAAAGGTGAAAATGGTTGAGAATGAATTTCTGTTCGACTTTTAAACTAGATAAGTATACTGTCACTTACCAGTTTTGGGTGCCTCCTGAGGTGAATCGCAGCTATTCTCTGAAACCTTCAATAGCTAAAGCCCAACAACTAGAGCTCCCTTCTCTCCTTTCCCATAGCCCTTTCCTCAAAGACAAAGTTTCTGCTCACTATCGCGGCTCCCAATGGAAAGTATTAGAGTAATAGCCATGTGTAGGAGTGCGTCACTGAGCCACCTTACTACGACACTATTAGCGCAACAAACGCGTGTAGGAATACCTTAGCAAGCCACTTTATAGATATGGACCGTTTTCCTTCAATCAAAAATCACCTCTACTGAAGCGCTTTTCGTGAGGAAGAATCCGCATGAGAACTCGAGTTTACGTTTAAATCGAACTCCTTCGATTTCAATCTTCGGGTACCTTGGTTCTCACTCAACCGGGATGTTAGACGATGTTCCCTACCACTGAATTTATTTCTTCGGTGACTCACCAGCCCACTCTCATGTGACACGAAGAGCGATCGAAAGTCGCTGAAGAGTCATCCCGCTACCGCGTGCTTGACACACTATCACGATGTCTTCGAAACTTTTTCTGCCGACATCACATCCGCCTAAGGCCGATAATCGACGCCTGCGCTTACAAAATTTTGTATCTGACGTCAAGCTGACATTCTTGTGAAGCACGCTATTCGTTGTATTCCTCGCAAAGGTGAAAATAGAGGTGACCGCGTTGGGGATTACCCAAAAGTGACATATCCAGACATCGAGATCTGATAAAGGGATTTTCAAAACCGTAGGAAACCTGACCTTTAATATGATCAACATTCGCTAGTCTTTGTCTCCAAAAAATCCGAATTCCATCATAATTCTCACAAATGTATCGGACTCCCTAGATGCCCATCTAAATCCCATCAGGGCTAATACATGTAGCAGATAGGCATTCACAGGTACTGCTTTTGTTTTCAGTGTGAATCGGAATTTTGATGCCTGCTCTAGATTTCTCCATATGTGAAGGGCTTGGGTTAAACCATCTGATACCCGATTCTTGATATGCCTTACTCGATAACCCTCTTGAGTGAACAGGAATATGAGATGCAAAGTCAAACAACAATTCACTGGATAGAAGTCACGTCACCTCCTGAGGTCCTAGCAGTTTATTTAGAGGAAGCTTTCGTCTCTGACATCAACATTACGGGCAAGAGAGCCGCGAAAGTAGGGTAACGGCATTGCGGACCCCTACTGGTGTTTCTTAGCTGCAGGTACATAGGTCTATTCAAAGTAAGTCTTACGAGTGGGGGAGCACCGGGGTAGATGGGTGCTCTTTCGGTAGGGATACTATGCTAGCAGGCTACCGCCTACATTTCTAGAAGAAATGAACTAATGGTGTTGATCAATTCTTTCTTCATACCAGCTTTCTACAGAAGATAAAGATATCCCTGCGCTCCTCTTCTCCTGAGACGTGGGTGAAAATTATACTCGTGTGCTTAAAAACATTCTAAGCTCTATTACAGGCCCGCAAAGTCGGCTACCAGTCGTATCCGTCTGGCCTCTAGCGCTAGGTGTTAGAGATGGTGGGTGCCAACGCTCCAGACTACATTTTCACACATTACATTTCTCTCCAAAATGGAGTTGAATCAACAGCCGAATTCCTCATTACCCCATGCGGTTTCCTCACACAGGCTCCATTTTGTTCCGAATTCAAAGTGGACCTAAAGTTCTCACCTATAAAGTTTCTACTATCTTCCTCAAAAGCAGCGGAATCATTTCTATGCAGGGCAATTGAAATTTAACAACACACGAGGTTGGAAATTCATAACTTGCGAAAGTTCTCGAGTCAAGTTTATCATCAACATATTTGTATAGGATGTATGAACTATGTCATTGCGGACAATTGGAAGGGCGGCGTCAGTACGGTGACCCCGCCCCTAGACCCACATTCCGATAGTTCTTTTGGAGGTGGGGCCAGTATTCTATCACCACTGAAGGCGACCACGACGACAATATCCCTCTTAGCGGCGGCGAAAGTTCAACGTCGAGTGATTGTTACGCTCATCGGTTCCACCTCTCACTAACCCCGATTCCACCGACAAGACCGAAGGTGATTAAACCTGACGTTCTTCTTGCCAGATTACCTCGGATGACAATTAACAACTATCTTGAAATTTTCGACTTTACCGCGTAGCTCGCGTGCTGCCTTGATTGAAAAATCGTGTGTTGGATCTTGAAGTTATTTATACGTCTTCATTGTATAGGGTCGACTGCAACACTTTCCAAGATGTGTCGGTACTTCAGCCCTAATAACCTTCTAAACTCATTAGAGGATCCCCTACTATATAAGGCTATGTAAGGACTAGATTAGGGAGACTCCCACGCCCCCACAGGGTGGAGAGATCACTCTAACCCATTTTACTACATTTCGTGTTCGTCAGTAGGACAACTGCCGAATTCTTTCCTTCCCGTGTACAATTTCGTTCGTGCGTCATGATTATTATTGCTACACTATTGCATTGCACATCTTTTCCAGACGGGGTCCTTTCCAAGCGATCTACAGTGGCATTAACTAGATTCCTGACAACAGGCACATCTGCCATGCTCTGGGCTCTACCTCTTCTCGCGCTGGTCAGCGCCCAGGCAACTCGTGAGTAAATTCTTCACTCAATTTCAACTTGACTAGTCAACCTTCAGTAAACACTACAAGTTTAACTATCCTTTTGGATTTAATAATTTTATCTGATCATTACCTACACTGGAGTTTCCGATTACCAGTTTCCGGAAATCATGTAAGATAAATTCAGTTCCACAGACAGCAAGTGGAAGCAGAGGATCTTAGGACTGATCAAAAGTGGAACGGTGGCTTGAAGGGTCACTTCACTTGCATCAAAGCTACTGATTCCATTCCATCTGAGGTGATAATCAAAAAAACATTGCCATCTCTTCGAAATGAGAGGCTTCCCACGAATCCTTTCTTATACTCAGTTGTTAGGTCTCTGATTAGTTGACATAGCAGTAGATTGGCGATGAAACTTCGACGCTAACATAATGATATCGGTTTTTACTTGCTCGAGCTTTTTTTTTGGAATATGGATTCAACGATGGATCCTAAAAAAGCCATTCCTTATACTCACCTGTAGAAACAGTAGCGAATCAAACGGCAACTTGACAAAAATCACTCCCTCCAAAGGTCCGTCGATACAAAGACAGTGATCAGTTCCTCGCATTGTAACTGGTGCTAAAATACCTTTGGAAAAATGTGCATTCGAAATATGCTTCAATATTTATGAAAGCTACCCCGTTTATTTTCCTGACTTGTATTAAGTTATCTACGTAAATGCAGTCTTTATATAAAATGATTCACGATCTCTTTATTTTGATTAACGACCCACTGTAACCTTCACTTTAATTTTTCGGTCACAATATGCACAGTAGCTCTACACTTCATGGATATTACATATCCATGACGAATAGATCATCTCAGGGTTCCAATTGGTCAGTAATCAGCAAAAGGCATGTTAAATTGCTCTGCTACCCGTTTTTGGCTAGCAGCATGAAATCAATACAATAGTTTTGAAGAGGAACAAGTGCATGATAGGAGTCTTAAAAATCGGCTTTTCAGTCTCTCTAAACCAAACCACTACATATTCAGCTGAATTTATACAAGTTATTCGCATTATTTTTTGAGGGGAATCAGCACAAACTACCTGTCATGTTCCATATGCCTTGGTTCTATTCACAATACTACCATAGATACACGTCTTTCTTATCACATCAATCCTCTTACAGAGTATCCGTAGCCACATAGAGATCTTACTCGATCAGTCCAGTCCTCAAATCAAATTGCTGATCCTATCAGTTTGAATTAACGCATTTTCAAACAATCACTATGCGATTTTTCATTGTTGTTTTTTTTTNTTTTTTTTTCATTGAAGAAGTCCCGAATGCGAATCGAGGTCAGTGTTTATTGCATGACCGACTGGCTATGATGACAGGTGAAATCTCTCCATGTCGGAGAGAGAAGACCTGGAGCCAGCCCACAACTAAGCGTATCGCAGGCCTTTTCGTGGATCTGTGACGCTGAATCGTTTTCCACAAACTGACCCAAATGTCAGTATCATGAAGTTTTCGCGACATCGCTACAGCCATCAATTATCTCTAAAATGTCTCACCTAGTCCTGCCGAGACAACTAGGAAAACCCGCGACTAACAGGGAAAATTAAAATGAAGCTCTTGTAAGAAGTTTTTTTTTAGAAATGTACTCGTTTTCGACGAGATCGCATGAATATGCAGCACATACAATTACTTTTTGGTATTTATAATGCTGACTGTGACTTTGCTTTTGCTGGAGCCTTTCCTTTCTCTTCATCTCATCGTTCAATCTCAGAGAGCAGTTGATGGAATGATCCAAATATACGTCGCTTCATTTTGCACTAAATACAAATACCAGACAGATCTCCCAAGAAGTGGAGGAGAGAGAATATCATCGAAGCCAATAAATATTCACTGATTAACTGTAGAGTAATGTGGCAGTATGTCCTCGTCCCGATGATCTGCGCCTCTTTCAGCCTCCATTTCACATTGTCCCAATGGCTCTCAGACAGTCTTTCTTCTTCAACACAATGTCACGATTGGTAGGCAAATCCGTGCTCTCCCCACTGCAGCCGTTGTCGATTGCTCAGATCACTGCGCGGCATCGAATGTAAGCTCCGGTTCTTGAACGAGTATTACTGTGTCACTCATTTTGACTGATTGGCTATTAAGGACTGTGTTGGAGTTGAGTTCCTGAACGGGAATTGTAAAGTGTTCGGTGCCGGTAAAGATCCGTCCATGCCCAATGCTAAGGTGCTCATGAAGAGTTGCGTCAAGGTGAGTTCTCAGCCGAAATTTTAGGAAGATTGTAATAATTATCGTCATAAGTGAATTTCAGAGCGAAAGAGTCTGCTCCTCACCGTTTCACTTCGACCTGTTCGAGCAAAAAATCCTTGTCGGCTTTGCTCGTGAGGTGGTGCCTGCTGAGGACGTGCAGGTATTACTTTACTTAGAGGAAGCTTTTGCCTGTCCTCCTGGAGCCTGCCATATGCTGCAATCCACTCTCAGGTATGCATGAGCGCCTGTCTCAACTCATTCGACACATTCGGCTTCGAATGCGAATCAGCCATGTTCTATCCGGTCGACCAGGAGTGCATCCTGAACACTGAAGATCGTTTGGACAGGTATTGACGAGCTACCTCACAATCATCATCATTACTGTGGTCAGGCCAAGCTGCGCTTTTAATTAATACCGTATCTCAGACCTGATTTATTCGCTGACGAGACTGAAGACAAGGTCATTTACATGGACAACAACTGTGCTGGATGTGAGCTGATCTACAACTTCAACATGAGGGATCACACCTAGGGGTCCTAATCACATCTATTTCAGCTCAGTGCTACGCGCCGTACATCACGCAGTACATTGCTGTTGAGGGCAAACAGTTAGAGAACGAATTGGATCGCATCATCAACGTTGACGTTGATTCGTGCCAGAGTCTCTGCACTCAACGACTCTCCCTTACTGTAAGCTGGTAGTCTTTTTATTCTGCAGTCATACACTGTGATCATGTAGCCGGACCTCTTATTTCAGTAAAAATGGCAAGCTCTGGTGATTCCAGAGCAATCCACCTCGTATCCAAAAAAGACTTTCTTACCATTTGCTTGTTAAAATAATCGGGTTCAGTCCGGCCATGACCAGATGGGTGTGAAGATTCGGACGTATGAAATCCACCATTTCATGAGAAGATGGGCACTACCATTTCACTTCAAACTCAAGGATAGACCCAGGGTCATTAACCCAAGCAATGCACACCCAGAATAAGATCTTTCATTCATGACCAAGCGAAGAATGTCTTCAGAGATAGCTCGGGGGTCGGAATCACCAAGCCTCTCATAAGGATTCTTCTCGAATATTAGGCTCACAGGGCCACTCCTTTGCTAAGTCAATAGCAAGCGCCTCCTTATGACTAGAACGTTAGCGTTCAAGTGAGTGACGGACAGGCGGCGGTTGGTTCAGCCCACTTATCGTAGTTTGAAACTGGTGTTTTGATGCTGTTTGGAGAAATCCCACTTTCGACATGTAAAACTCCACGGAAATCTTATGATGGGATTAACGTTGTAAAGAACGCAATCTGACCTAGATTCCAACGATACTAGCGACTTAAACGTTGTAATCAGCCTCATACATTCCCGTAAAATTTACAGTTTTTGCTCAGCGTTTCCTGTCCCAAACTTGCCAGCCAATAACTGCGCTTCGATGAGGCCCCAAACTTGCCAGCTAATAACTGCGCTCATATGAGGCTACACAAAGAGCCTAGCGAGCCTTTCTGATGAATACTTGGATGAATTTAGTCCATGTCAAACAATACATCCATCTCTTGTTGCGTTGATGTTTACGCAGTAGTCATCGATGAACCGAAAGTACTTAATGGGCATGCCCGCTATAACTGGCCTTTTTATTCTGCTCAAAAAAAAACTGATAGCTAGTACCGGTCTCAGCCGCTGACAAATAGCAAGTCCTCGCTTTTTTGAGAAGTACTGCCCGCTCCACTTGAAATTGTACAATTAAGGCATTCCTTGTTCAGGACCATAATGTGAACCTTGCTCGATCCGAACGTCACAATTTCTGTCACGGGAATGGAATGGGCGCCAGCAGGGCTTCATCATTTGAGAGATAAGCTTAGAAAGAGTGCAGTTCGCGGAGAGCCTCAGCGCACTAGCACAGAGTCTATGCTAGCGCCTATTCCATTCACGTTCGTTCTATAAGGAACCGGAACCTCTGCCCATACAATACATAAAATTTCGAGTACTTTCGTCAGGAGTACTCAAAACTTTCAAAAGAAATGGTCGCGAAAGGTTCTCAATCAGGAGGAACGAATAGCGGGATGGATTGCGGGAGGTACGAAAACGCGTAGCAGATGGTGAAACCCCTCTTTCCGTGGAGGACAAGGGATAAGAGTTCGTGGTTCCACTTCGTCTACTGGATCGTGAAATCACGGAGCTCCACTTTATTGATATTAGGTTGGCAAATAAGTCCTGCGACAAAAAATTTAAAGCGTTGAAAATTTGTATCAACAGTGTGAACACGGTAGCAAGGGTGATAGACTTATAGGAAATTCCTCAGGCAATTAATACATAAGTAAATAAGTGCACGCGGT